CTTGGCTCAAAGGATCAGAATTCTGTCAATAATGAGCTTGTTACAGGCTCATGAGCCTTTTCTGTGACCGCTGAGAAAAAACAAAGGGCACAAACTTGTCGGCAGTGTGAGCTTTCCCATCGGTGTTTATAAACACAAAAAGGCAATGAAACTGTCAGGCTTATTTTTAAAAAAGTGCTGTAAGTCACGAATATTCAGCTTTTCATGGAAGAACCGAGCTGATATAAGGCACTTTCTGAAAACTGATCCAGGCTTTTCCTCAGCCAGCTTCACAAGGTTACTGGGTTAATGATTAGTGAAGGAGAATGTTTTTATTCAGCTAATGCTGCTGGCAAGGAACACTGTTATGGTGCATTAATAACTTATTTTTTTTTGTAGTCTCCTTTTTGCTGTTGATTCATGTTGACCCTCTCCTGTCCTACTCACTGCTCCAGGGTGTTTGGGGTTTGGGTTGTTTTGTTTTGGGTTTTTTTTTGGGGGGGGGGGTGGTGAGCTTTGTTTTGGGTTTTTTCTTTTATACAAGCAGCTGGCAACACTACTGGTAGAATCAAATGCTGGTTCTTAGCAAAGTCCTTTTTTTTTTTTTTATTCCCATGATGAAGATACCATGGCTTAAAATAGTATTTTTTTAAAAAAATACTTACTATGGAGGATTTGGGACAATCTAAAATACAATAATCAGAGAAGACTCATGCTATTCTCCAGTCAGAAGAGGATTACTTGTGATTTCATTAGTTTTAGTACAGGGACTGAAAGCAACATACAATCTAATACAAGTTGTAGAGATCGAAGTCTCTCCAAACTGGTTTCGATGGGAAAGCAGCTGCATAGACTGGAAGCTGATTGAGAAGGCCAAAGCAAAGGCAGTGTGTTTCCTGAAGAAAAATAAAATGTTTAAGGAAGTGAGTCTAGTGGTATGGGCCATTTAATTTAACAACTGTTAGGGCAGAGCCCTTGCCTATGTAGTACATGGTGGTGAAATTCATAAGCTACGCTACAGAAGGAATTTACTGCAAGGACATAAATGTGATGCCAAGATACTGTAGAGCAAGGACATAAATGTGATGCCAAGGCACTATGGATGCTCTGATAGGATTTCTCACAGGAAGGTGCAGGCTTCCCAGCCATGGTCAAGGTGTGTTCACGGTCAGTGTGAGGGGAAGGTTAGCAAACAGGAATTTCAGGATCTGAATCTGACTTCCAACAAGACCCAGGTTCACACTGGCACTGAAAAAGAGGTGACTGGTGCCGTTTTGGATTCTGTGTACAAAAGCTTTTTATTGCGGAAAGTCTTCTCTGTCAGACTTTTGTTTTATCAGAAATGAAAGTAAACTGAAAGGAACTGGAAGAAGAGTGCCCTCTCCCCACTCAATTACAGCAGTTTTTCAGTACTTTCCCATTAAAGGGTTTAGCTAGCTGTTTTGGTGACTGTCACCTTGGCTGAAAGAGTTGGGGCTGTTCAGCCTGGAGAAGAGAAGGCTCCGGGGAGATCTTATAGCAGCCTTCCAGTACCTGAGGGGGCTACAAGAAAGCTGGGGAGGGACTTTTCATAAGGGCAGTTAATGAGAAAACAAGGGGAAATGGGTTCAAGCTGGAAGAGGGGAGGTTTAGATTAGATATTAGGAAGAAGTTGTTTACTGTGAGGGTGGTGAGACACTGGAACAGGTTGCCCAAGGAAGTTGTGGATGCCCCCTCCCTGGAAATGTTTAAGACCCGGCTGGATGAGGCTTTGAGCAACCTGGTCTAGTGGAAGGTGTCCCTGCTGATGGCAGGGGGGTTGGAACTAGATGATCTTTCAGGTCCCTTCCAATCCAAACCATTCTATGATTCTGTTCCCGCTTGGACATTTGTAGTTGAGTGCTTTGCTCCAGTGAATTAGAGGACTTAATAGGGAATAAATTATGAAATGTACTAACTTTGTCTACAAGAGTGATGCTATATCTGGTAATTCTTTCTGCTTTTAGAAGTTGTCTACCCTTAGATTTCAGGAGTAAGGCTGGAAGGCTGGGAGCTGTCAGTGCTGTAGTGTGAAACTGCAGATGAACTTGATGGTGACTGTGACTTAATCCTTGCGTTGGCTTTGCGTCGCGGCTGCGGTGCACAGCGGTACTGAACGCAGAGATGAAGTCGTCCGCTGTCTCTTTCTCTGAAAAGGGCACCATTGGTAATGCCAAGTTATGAGTGACTGATTGGGAAGTGACACATTAAATAAATGTTGTGCCAAAGCCAATACATTAAAATCTGTTGTTGAGTCTCTGCTGAGAACTAAATGGTTTCAATCTGTTTTTAGGTGTCTTTGTATCCAGCATTGTTCTGGTCTTACAACAGCGAGCACTTTTCAAGTTTTATATGATTGCCTCGGCATCTCTGCTGGCTGCAACTTCAGTGTTGGTGAATTACTACGCTTCTTTGCACATAAACTTCTACAGTGCCTACTACACAGCCACGTTTGGAATTCAGATCTTCCCTCATAAAGGACCGTCGCTATGGATGGCGCTTTCCATCCTTCAGCTTACCTTTGGAATCGGGTATGTTACATTGCTAAACGTGCAGTCCATCTACTCTCAGCTCATCATCCTGGATATACTGATTCCTGTGATTGGCTTGGTTGTTGAATTACCTTTAAATGTCCGGCAGATACTAGTTTTTATTTCAGGCCTAGTTCTGACACTAAATACCACAGCCATTTTAGTGATGAAAATCAAATGGTTCTATTACTCGGTACGATACGTTTATCTGCTGGTGAGGCACATGTATCGCATTTATGGATTACACCTGTTGATGGAGGATACGTGGAAAAGGATTCGGTTCCCAGCTGTACTGCGTGTCTTCTGGCTAACGAGACTTACGGCACAAGCTCTGGTATTAACGTATGTTGTAAAGATGGCTGAAACTAAAACAGAGGAAAAATTCTTCTTGCTGTCGTGGGATAACTGTTGGGAACTGCTTTGCAGTCTGATCATAAGCGGGTGTGACTCTACTTTAACTGTGCTGGGCATGAGTGCCGTCATTTCCTCCATCGCCCATTATTTGGGGCTCGGTATCTTGGCCTTCATCGGATCAACTGATGAGGATGACAAAAGGCTTGGCTTCGTAGCCCCTGTCTTGTTTTTCATTTTGGCTCTGCAGACTGGTTTAAGTGGACTGAAACCAGAAGAACGATTAGTTCGCCTGAGTCGAAACATGTGCCTTTTGTTGACGGCAGTCCTGCATTTTATCCATGGAATGACAGACCCCGTGCTGATGTCTCTCAGTGCCTCCCACGTGTCATCGTTTCGCAGACACTTCCCTGTACTGTTTGTCTCCGCTTGCCTTTTCATCCTTCCAGTTCTGCTCAGTTACATCCTCTGGCACCACTATGCACTAAATACCTGGCTTTTTGCAGTTACGGCATTCTGTGTAGAGCTTTGCCTAAAAGTAATAGTTTCTATCACTGTTTATATCTTGTTTATGATTGATGGCTATTACAACGTGCTATGGGAAAAACTTGATGACTATGTTTATTATGTTCGTTCAACTGGCAATATTATTGAGTTTATATTTGGAGTAATTATGTTTGGAAACGGAGCTTACACAATGGTTTTTGAATCGGGAAGCAAGATCCGCGCTTGCATGATGTGTCTACACGCGTACTTCAACATCTACTTGCAAGCCAAGAACGGCTGGAAGACTTTTATAAATCGACGGACTGCTGTTAAGAAAATAAACTCACTTCCAGAGGTGAAAGGAAGTCGGTTACAAGAAATCGATGACGTATGTGCAATCTGCTACCACGAGTTCACCACCTCTGCTCGCATTACTCCCTGCAACCATTACTTTCATGCACTTTGTCTTCGGAAGTGGCTGTACATTCAGGACACTTGCCCTATGTGCCATCAGAAAGTGTATATTGAGGACAAGGAAAATGCCAGTATCTCTAACAACAACAGGTTTGCGGCACCGAATGAAAATCCTGTACAAGCTGAAGAAGAAGCTGCTGATGCTGAAAATGAACTAAATGAAGATAATGACAGTTCTGATAGCGATGAGGAGGATGACGACTGTGTGGCACAGCACTTGAATGAGACTCTTAATGTTGATTCCAACTCTGTTGGTGATTAAGATGTCCTTTATTAAGCCATGAGGTATTTGTTTAAGGTTGACGTCAGCAGAATAAAAGTATCACTTTGTAGTTATTGTACTTAAGCACAACAGCAGTATCTTAATGTTGAGTCTGTGAATGGTGGTTGTTTACTGTGGTGTGTGCTACTGTAAATATACCTCTGATTTTGGCTGGTCTCTTTCATGACCACCTTAAAATTATGTACGTTATTGTACATGGAATAAAATGTTTTCACATGTTTTTAAGATGGTTGGAAAAACACTCTTTAATTGATGTAGTGATAATGCTGTGCCAAAGACTGTATACCAGTAATCCCTGATCAATGAGGTCTGGATGCAAAGGAAAAATACTGGTGAAAACAGACTGTTCAGAACCAGACATGAAAAGCCTGAACCAAAGCAGCTTTACTTACAAATTCAGTATTAGCAGAGCTTTATCATTAAAAACTAGCAAGTTGTGTTTTAAAAAAATAAAATAAAGAAAAATTTAGGTTAGTAGACTTAATGTTACAGCATTTGCGTATGTGGAACAAAAGCCAAAAGCACTCAGCTTCCTGGTAACGTCCAGCATGCCTCTGATGTGTTAAACACTTCGGCATTACCAGTAGTAGCTTGAACGCAGCAGCCTGGCAGTCATCACGTAACCCATACAGGTGTTAACAAGAGTTGCTAGCTTGGGTTGTCCTTGACATTGATCCTGAATCTTGATGAAAGGGAAACAGGGCTGAGAAACTGCACAACTGCAGACCGCCTTTTCAAAAGCAGCTTTAATCTTGTACCATTAAAAAAAAAGCACTACATATTGGCTTCCATGGATAAGAACTTGCAGATATGGTAATTTTTAAGTTTTTGCAGTATATTTACTACAGTTATGCTGAATAAATGTAAGAAAAACAACTTTATATATTTGGAAAGAAGACTTTAATAGTGTTGTTATATAGAGTATTGGCCAACTCGAGCGGGTCATCTTCTCTTACTGCTGCCATTATTTCCAGTATTTGACTGAAAAAGAAAGAATGATATTATTAGAAGAGGCTGAAACTCAGTACTGAATATCCTCGAGACTGCTGCATGTGTATGTACGAGTCACTAAGATTAACCTGGAATAAAAACCTATGCTGAGAGCAGCAGGGCAAGGTGCTCAGATATGCAAATAGCTTCTCTTTTAAGTCACTAACTGCCATTCCCTTCCCACTGAACACTGGTTGCTCACTGGTACAGATTCTTCTTTGGTCTTTTGACTCTTGTTTGGAGGTTAATTAAACAGCTTTCTGTTTCAAAGAAAGTGTCATTTTGTGGGTGTCTTTATCAATGGTCTTCATTTTTCAGACTGAAATTGATTAGCCTTTCAAGGCTAAAGCTGCACTGTGAACAAACTTGTCTATGGCAAAGCTTAAATTCCAGATCCAGCCTTATCTGAGAGTGTAGCTGCCAGAGTAACTTTTCCTGCTTCCCTGTTCTCTAGATTAACTGTGATTAACATTCAGATAGTTGCAGTAAACATTAAATGAGCAATTTTAAAAGGCCCGTAGTCTTGATACAAGCCAGGAAAAGAAGGCATAAGAAAAGGGATGAATAATATTAACACTAAATAACAAAAAACCAAGCCACAACCTTTTCTCTACTTATTTTCTTGATTTTGTATTACTCATTCTGAAAAAAAAAGAAATTTCTATACAGTCCCTAAGACACTTCATACTTCATTTTTTTTTTCTAGTAATGGAAAAAAAACCCCAAACCCCAAGCTTTAAGAGTAAGAACCTCAAGGGTTTGATGGTCTTGGATCCTGCCTCTTAAGTAGTGCAATAGCTAAAGGTCTTTTTGAGGAAATCAGGGTAGAAAAAGTTGCTCTTCACAATTACTGGAATTCAAATATTTTCCTAGATGGAGAATTAGATGGAGAATTAGCCCATTTTACCCTCATTCTTGTGCTATGCAGCCAAACAGCTTATTGATTTAAGGGCATGTTCAAGATGAGATGGGGTGAGGTCAGGCCTACACAGAAATAAGTAAAGACTACCAAAGAATTTCACCCTTGAAGAGTCGTGGTAGGGCTTCCACATCTCTCCTCACTTGGATGCTCCCTGTTACTGTGACACTGGTATGAAATCTGAAGGAGAAAAAAGCCTCTTGTGGCTGTTTTTTTTTTAAATAGCCTTCCAAGGGGAGTAGTGCAGTTGTGAAAATAAAGTGGAAATACCACCATCAAAATTGAAAGGTGTCCAGTACCACCAAAAAAAGCCAAATGGAAAATTCCTCCTGCCAACTGAGCTATATTAAACAATATATATACCCTAAGCGTTAAATATACTTTGTGGCCTGAGGCTAATTTTCCCCTCACACCAGATCTTGCTACTCGAGAAGTCACAAACTACCAACTCTCAGTTACCATACTTCATTTTTCCTGAGGTTTGAGAGTTCTCAGGTTACTAATCTACAATTAGTAGAGGTCATAATTGATGTTAAAGGGACAGTAGTTTTGAAATAAGGTTGAAATAAACAAGATTTTGTTCTGTAAAAGAAAGCAAAAGCCAAGTCTAGCGTTTGTGTACTGCTCTGGGGCAGACTCCCTGCATTGCCAGTTCTGGGGTGTCTGCAACACTTTATCTGTAAGCTACAGCTGGGGCAGCACACAAAGACGCGGGGGTGTTGTTAACACGTACAGGTGTGCTGAAATAGCCTTCTTCACCAACAGCAGTGGTCCTCCACTTGTGATCAGAGAATTGGTTTCACTTGATCTCTTCTCCTACTCTAAAACCTTGGACTGACCCCAGAAAGTCTTAAAATACTGAACGAGCCCTTCCGTGCGAACGTGTGCGCTGCGTCTTCGCAGCACAAATAGAGTCAAGTTCAAAGAGTATGACAAATCAACGTCACTGCATAAAATGTATCTGAACACTAGGGAAGTATCACCACGTGAACTTAAACTATGCTTTTAGCATGATCCTGTGGCATCTCTCTCTTTTTAAAGTGTTATTTCACATCTCCCAAAAGAGCAGCAGAATTCCCTTTAGTTCTCCAATAAACTCTTGTTTAGACACCTTGCCAAATACCTGAATTCTTCAGCGCTATCCTGAGCAGTGTTTTAAAAGCGAGCCCCCAACAGGTCATTTACACAGCTTTTCACAGAAATACACAGAGACTTCACAGCAAATAAAAAAAAATCCCACTTCTGATCAAGTAAATGGGCCATAGGTAATAAACAAAGCTTGGAGCTTTATTTGCTGGAAGTTCATTCACGTACTGCACCACAAGAAGAAAGCTTCCCAACCATTCCTCTTTTCAGAATGCTGATAGTGGGGAGATGACTGAGAAGTCTGGCATAACTCACCAACCAGACTTCCACAACAGTTGTGAAAATTCAGGCATTTCATCTCAGTGCTATTTAATGAAAATAACTAAACGTTTTCACTAAAACAATGATACCTTTCCCTGCTTTTCACACCTCCGCGATGAAGTGCGTGAAAAGGTGGCAGAAACTGGTTTCTGTACTTTCTAAGTCTGTCCATAAGCCCCTGGAGTTTTCTTTCACTACTCTCTCTGCTGACTGCTGTTCTTCATATCTGAACTTCATAGGATCACAGTATTCTATGAAACTTCATTTTATTTTAAGCACAGTAGCAGAATTAAGAAATTGCCCTTAACCAAACCGGTGTTACAGCAGCTCGTGTCACAGGCACTGTGATATGAACACGGGCACCAGCCCCTCTCCGTGCCTCAGCGCTGCCCCCTCAGCAGAGCGCTGCACAGCGAGCGCCAGTGCTGGATCAGTTTTAAAAATAACTGCAACTGAGTGAAATTTATTCAAGTCAGGTTACTTCACAGGGTTTAACCTCTTCTCCAGGGTATCAAGTAAAAGGATAAAAATCACTTTCAGGGAGCTTTTTACATCCAGAGTTACTGAAATGGAAAAATTAAGACTTACTAAATTTTTCCACAGCCTATAAAGCAATACCTGGCACAAGTTTCAGTGAATTCAGAATTAATTTCTATTTACGACATTTCCAGTGAACTGATTTTTTTTTTCTCCCTGGTGAGATTTGAAAGATGTAAAAGAATACTGCAGCAGTACACTTACATTATATGGCAGGGTTCATTTCTGTCCTTCAAGCAGTGCCCTATTTCCCATTTCTTTTTTGTAGGAAATGTAGTTTTAACGTATTTTGATCCAGCATGAGTATTTTTTACTCCACACCAAGGCGCATCTAGTTTCATTTGGGAAAAAAAAAATAAAAATTACAAGCATGCAATTGTTTGAGAAGAGAATAGCATGAGACAGCTTAATCAGCTACTTCCATAGGCAGAAGCTCTTGTAATCTCATTCTAGCAGTGACTTCCAATTAAAAAATGGAATTTAAGAGATTTGGGGAATTTAACATCCTTACAATCTTTGGATTTTTATATTGTTACCTTTGAGTTTTTACATTTTAAAAAATCAGGAATAATAGTACATAACACTAATTCCCTCCAACACAACAATGATAGCTAGATACACTGTGTGTGTTACACAGAAACTTTCTCTACACTTTTAACGGGTCTGTACTTCATGTGCAAATAAATTTAAGGATTTAGGCAGTTTGTGTTTTTCCTTTTTCAGATTCAGAAATTCAAATAAATACTGTATTTTTAACTGCCAGCTGTTGAGAATTGAAATGAACATTAAAAAAAAGAAAAAGGCATCCTTAGTCAATCAGTTACAATCGCTGCTCATTAGGCCAAGAGGAGACGTTCTTCCACTTTACTCTATGTAAAGAGCTGATGTTTCCAAATGCTGCAACTGCTACCAGTGGTGAGCTCACAGTCACTGCCCTGTGTCTGGTACATCTCCTCCAAGCTAGATTTTAAGATATTCAAGCAGGATTCTGGTACCTAGGGACATTTAAAAATCTGGGCTTGTCAATGTGTCCTTTTCATCTTCCCCTGCAATGTTAGGAACTGACACGGCAGTTTATTCCTTCCAGCAGAAGGCCGAAAAGGAGTATTTCTGGAGCCCGTAAAGTGCTTTCCAAAGTGGAGAAACAGCCAGTCCTTTTTCTACTCTGAACTCCTTACGTCTTGATTCTGCCTTATCATTGCTGTACAGGCGTATCTCCTTGCCTAATAGTGTTTAAGTCACAAACTGACCAAGACATAAAATCTTACCAGTCTCTATCATTAATCGTTCACTAGGAATCGATTTCAGCGTTTCCAAGTTGGCTTCTGTTTTCAGTGAACTGGAAAATCAGAGTTTGTTTAAAAAAACAAACAAACAGAAGTGTATAAAAGTAATTACTTTGCCTGTTGAAATGTTCTGCAGCAAAGATGACTTCCTAAATAATTTGAGTGAATAAAATTTGCTTCATTTTTAAAAGTGCTGCCTGTAAATTCAAACTTTGCAGAAAACGACAAATTTGGAGAGTTACTGAGTGAATCCATCTCACCCTAGTAAGCACACAGAACCCCTGCCTGCACTGCCCATGCTTGCCTGGCCTCAGCAACCCGTGCAATTTATAAAGTGGTGCTGGCTGGCTTTTGGCCAGATGACTGCTGAGAATTCAGACTGCATCACCAGTAGATAAGGCTGCTCCAGTTACATCTGCATTACTCCTGGATTTGACAGGGCAGCTTAAAATTGCGCTATTTTTTTAAACACTTCTCAGAAGAACTGCTTCCACATTCAACCACCGTATGTATTTACAAACAAGGATTGACCCAAGGTTAGCAGAATGGACCTAAGACTAGATTAACTCACTGAGCTGTGAGTTAAGAACTTCTCGTGGCTAATAGACTAATGAGTGCAATTCTAAATCTGTCAAATGATTAAGAGTCTAGTGAGCTCTGAGAACTTGACCTCATTGTTTCAAAGAAAGCAATAAGTTCACTACAGCTGACATTTTAAAATAGTTTTATTTCTTGTAAAGAACTTACCAGCCATTTATTCCAATATAAAGATCCAAATCTATTATAGCTGCTGCTTCTTCCTTTGTGCCATCAAAAGAATGTACCTAGAACATATATAAATATAGATATACACATATATACAAATATATGTAGTTCATTTAACACTCCAGTAATTTAAAAGCACATATTAGTTTTTATTTGTGTCATAAATCCCTTTGATAGTATGCATTACACGTGAATACAAACATAAAGGTGAGACATGGCTCAGTTGATTCTGAATTTGGGCAAAGTCCAGGCTGAAGGCAGTTGAATACTGCAATAGAAGTGGTTACAGTGTTTTATGGGTGATCAGTACGTGTAGAAAAGGCCTATCCAGTGATACTGCTTTTGGCCCAGAAACTTCCAGGAGCTGGGAAAACACACACAGGAAATCATCCTGTGCATGCTGAATTTTTACACTCTCTCCTCAGTGTTCCCTACAGGGCACTGTCAGGGACCCAGTAAGAGCAGTGTCGAGTTCTCCACAGATTTGAGCCCCCTGGAACTAGAGAGACAGCCTGCGTGGTCACCCCAAGGACGAGAGAGGCAAGCGACAGGCCACAAGGTGCAAGCAGCGAAATGCTCCTGGGAGCCGCAGCTCCTCAGCCCGAGTGGAGTAAAGAGACTACGGTTCCCCACGCTGCCAGGGGACAGCCCCACGCTGCCAGGGGACAGCCCCTTGCAGAGGTGCCTGCCCGTCACTGCTCCGCTAGCTACGGGTCTTGCAGAAAAGGGAAAGGAAGAGAGGGGAGTCGGCACAGTGTTCCGTAAGGACACAACATGCCAAACTGGGCCGGGGGAAGGTTTTTGGGGTAACAAAGGGGAAACCTGGGGACTGAGATATTATTGTAGGAGGTGCGGCCTGATGTTAGTAGGACAGAGTAATCCAAGCATTTATTATCCTTCTGGAAAATCCTGCCACAATGGAAACCTGAAAGAGAGTTGCTGGACTTTCTTCGTAATTTCATCAAAAGATTTTCCCGTTATGCTTTTGAATTAAAATACACGATCTGAATATCTAACGACATAAAACAATCAAAAGTTACATCTGGATCTAATTTGAAAATGATGTCTAACGTCAGAAGCAAATGTCTGAGGTTACAGCTGCCACTGGGAACTTGCACCTAAATTATCTGTGGTCTGAATGCACTGCAGTTACAGACACTGAAGAACTGGGAAGAGGCCAATGTCAATTATAAGGTGCTTAAACTGTCCTTCTGACAAGCCAAGAAAAACTGCTCACGTCAGCTGCAGAGCTTTTTCTCAGTCTATCTTCTTACCTTGCCAAAAAACTGTTGAATAAGCAAAGAAAATAAAAATACTAGAAGGGACTGGAGAACACTTATTAATAATAACTGAAATCACCTAACAGGAAACCTACCCAGATTCCATGACAAACAACAAGCTGCATATTAAGCAACAATATTCACACAACATGCACGTAAAAACGAATGCTACACTGAAGTCCATACTTACCACCCCTCCTACCATTCTATCTCGGTTTCTTCTCATTATGTCTATGAAAAGAAATAAAAATATGTAAGACAGCTTTATAACAGACAAAGGTAAAAGATCCAGGTTTCTAGATTTTTCGTATTTAGAATTTGCTCTCAACCAAACCCACCTAAAAATTCAGTGTGTGAGTTTCTACAGTGGAGAAACATGGGCAGGTGTGTCTGTTCTGACAGGTCAAATTGTTTTTCAAAATACCTGTAAAATAAAAATCACCTTTAAACAGAACCTCAGTGTAAGAACAAATAAAGACAGCAGAAGAGTTTTTTCCAGCACTTGTATGCTTTTGTCCTCCAGAACTAAAGACAGAGTTAATGGATTTGCCATGCAAAAGCTCTTATTTGTGCAAGGATTTAAAAGGAACTCTTTCCCATGGTATATTCACACAGTAATGATCTATGCTGGAAGACGGGTAGGAAGTGGCCAAGAGCATCAGTACTGAGGAATGCACAAATATATATTCAAAGCATGTACCCTTGTGTAGTGCGGGTGCTGGAGTTAATTTTTATTTATTTATTTTTAATGAAAAAGGAACTGACTGTTCCTTCCACGAAATTTTGAAATGTCAGGAATGGGAGAGCGTGGATCACATGGAGACCACTATTTCAAGAAGCACTTGTAAATGCCGTGAGGAAGCACTACACAGACTTCTATAGCCTCAAAAAACTGTATATATGGCCAAAACTGTATCAGAGCTGGCTGGCCTGTAAAGTAACCAACCAGAGTTTCTCTTTGCCCTTCCACGGAGGGCAGTCTTTCCTCTCTTGGGGTGCAACGAATACCAATATTAGGCATTTTACTTCTTCCCACTATCTTCACTCTTTCAAAGCCTTCCACTGTTTTCCCTCCTCCTTTTTATGTCTGTATCCTTTCCTTTTCATTCCTTTTATCCCTACCTTCTACTCCCAGTATTCCCTTTGAAGGAGTGGTAACAGCGAGGCAACCATCCTATGAAGAGACATTAAAATGTGGGCAGAGGGAAGAGAAGGAGGCAGCCAGTTTCCCCAGTGCAGTTTCTAAAGGAAACTAACCTGTCCCTTGTCATTTGCAGGTAGCTCTGATCCCCGAGCATTATCATTTACCAGTCCCCTCTGCCACGCTGCACCCAGGCATGCAAATTACCAGTGCTCAGGAAACGCGGTGAAGGAACTTACACATGGCAGAAGGCCAGCAGCGCCCAGGTGACTCAGTACCCACACATAATTGGAAAGATGACATTATTTGGACAAGGCAGAGGGACAATGTTACCTGTCCCAACAGGCTGGGACTGTATGCACATGCTGCATTTCTTTCAGCGTGGCAGTTAAAAGCAGTCCAGGGCGCTGGGGCATTCCCATCATCAGGTACCAGAAACATTTCAAAGGCAAACTCAAGTGTTTGAACTCACACACACATACTGACTGCTGTGTATGAGTCACATATCAACCACGAGAAAGTGTCAGTAAACCACTAGTTTGGTTTACATTTTCCTAACATATAAATAAGACTAATAAAACCTATTTAAAAAAGAGACAATGCAGCTGGTCTTTTAGTTTTGTGTAATTTTCATTCTTTTCTGTATATTACAGGTTGATATGTCTCTGATAAAAAATTACCTTCCCTGTTTATTAGTCCAGAACTCTGAGATACAACAGGTGGAACAGCAATCGTCTGCAATGTTAAAAACTGACATGAAAATTCAGAATTAGTTACAACTACTTTGAATGTTCTTTGTAGTCTAGATACTGAGCTTAGTTGAGCTTGTTTGACTAAATATAAATCTAATTGCAACTCGTGATTGCTCTTGCGGTTAAATAGCTACAATTGCTTGATTACTGGTTGGTTGTTTTGTTGTTTGTTTGGTTTTTTAAAGAGAAGACTTGTTTCATAAGTAAATGAGGTTTTAGAGACTGAGCTGCAAACAAGTCTCCTAAGTGAGCTACTGCCAATTTCAATCTAATTTTGGGAAGGGTAATGGTCTTGAAAGTACAAAGTTTACTGCCCCTACAAGTGGAAAGGCAACTCAAGCTTCTTCCATTCCTAGCGACAATGAAGCCCAACACACGCTGCTGCTGCCCTGTCAAAGAAAAAGGGGAGGTGGATGGGAAATTTCTTGAAGGAGGGGAGGGAGAAAAAAAAAAAAGAGATAAAAGAAACCCCAGAAAAGTGTGAAGACACCAGGCATGACATACAGTGATCAGAATGGTAACAAAGGAAGTCAGTAGGAAAACAAACCTTCCTAGTTCCAGGGCTTAAGGAACAACTTTTTCCTTTGGGCAAACAGACTGTTTGTTATTCACTACGTGCAGTTTCTGTGTTTTCTGTGTTGTTTCTCAATAAGGAAGTTTGAAAATATTTCTGCATGGTTGTTTGCAGGTTTAGTTTTGATTATAAAGTTCAAATGCTGTGGTATTTTCAGGTTTGAGATCAAGACACTAAAGGAGTTGAAGCAAATTGGCCTTGTTGAGGTAGAAGATCTCCAGATAAACAATGATGGATTCATGCATGAATAACAGTGCCTATGACTTTGTTCACCCTCTCCAATTTGGTTAAGAAAATTCCTGTTTCTCGTGTCACTGAGCCTTACAAGCCCCTCTTAGTAGCACAGCAGAAGTGAAACTTCCATATACCTATCAGTCCATTTATAATGTGACCTTCATGACAATATGAAGGCAGTACCTTCATCTAACTACCATTCAAATCACCATTTTCTGCTGGAAAAGTTATGAGAAAGGAGAACAATTCTGATAAAAAAAAAAGTTCCTAAGTCTGCTTCAACAAATTCTTTTCAATCCAAGAAACAGGATAAAAATGGTATTCATTTATTACAGGTGAAAACTATTCCAAAGAAAACACAGCATAATTAACTAGAAAATAATGATTAAATGATTAAACATTAAACAAAACAGAGGTCACGCTCAGATACTACCCACGGGGAAACTGCCATACTTCTCTTCCACAGGGTAACTCTGCAGCTGTGTGCAAACTGTCCTAGTGACTGTTACAACACCTGAACTGCGGATCAGCTGAAAACTGGTGAGCTGCCTCCAAGCATTTCACGCTCTGCCTCTTTTTTAAAGATCATTTATCAAGAAAACACTGAATATTAATTTGAAGAACTCGCCATCCTGTCTGCTAAAGGTCATGAAAGCCAGACTATCTCCAACTCCATAGCATTCAATTAGCAGGAATAAACCCAACCCCAAACCCTGACCATGTTTCACAAACACAGGGAGGATGAAGAGCAGGGAAAGCTGCTTTCCTTTTACAAAACATGGAATTTGCAAACACAGCGTTTGCAGGCATCTGTCCTTGAGGCTTTCAGTATTTCTTCACTCCCTCATATTTCTTGCTTTTCATCAGTCACCTCCTTCCAACTGCAATTTCCAGTAAGGGCTCTTAAAAGATCTCTTTGAAAGGAGATTTATGTATTTCATATGATTTACTGAAATAGCTCAGATAAAGACTTTGTGTCTTTACCAATCTTAATTAGAAAGGACTCACCTACCACTTTTAAAGTGATTTCTGTTCTACTCTGTCACCTCCTTCCTCACAACCCAATTGCAGTGCACTTGATTAGAAGTTTTTCACTACAGGTCTTCAGCTTCAGTCCATCAGATAAGGAAAATCATAGAATCATAGAATGGTTTGGGTTGGAAGGGACCTTAAAGCTCATCCAGTTCCAACCCCCCTGCCATCAGCAGGGACACCTTCGACTAGACCAGGTTGCTCAAAGCCTCATCCAGCCTGGCCTTCAACACTTCCAGGGAGGGGGCATCCACAACTTCCTTGGGCAACCTGTTCCAGTGTCTGACCACCCTCACAGTGAAAAACTTCTTCCTAATATCTAATCTAAACCTCCCCTCTTTCAGTTTAAACCCATTTCCCCTTGTCTTGTCATTAGTTGCCCTTATGAAAAGTCCCTCCCCAGCTTTCTTGTAGGCCCCAAATCAGATACATTTATTTATTTCCCAATATCATCAAGGCAGTAAAGATCTTAAAATATGATACTCCACTAGTGTTTTAGTTTGCCACAGTGAAGAATCAGGTTATGCTCCCAGGTGTGCTTTGCTGAACAGTACATTGAATTCCACCAGAAAAACGAGTTCTGCCCACTTTACCGAATGACTGTAGCGCTATGAAGAAATTAACTCTACATACTGCTAACATGCGGCAATTAGAAATGAAACACAACTAACCACTGCCCCCCAGTGACTAATTTACTCAGAACAGTTACAAGCACAATTCATTAATCATTCATTTTAATTTAGCACTTACTATCTTTCAGTCAGTTCCCCCTGTAGACAGAACTCCTCACTACAAGAATGCAAATTGATTTTAGGGGCTGTGCTAGCTTCTTTCCACTCAGTTTCTATACTTCAAAATACAGATCTCTCCAGCTCCTGAGATTACGTTTTTCATCAGCTCTTGATTGTCTGCTCCCAGCTAATACCTCCTTTACTAAAAGCTCATTTTTCTGAGAGCTGACTTATCCTTTTGACAGCTCTGTTCCCTTCCCCACGCCCTTCACTCAACAACCTAATTCTTCTTTCATGCACCACAGTTACGTTATTTTCCCCATGAGTCTCCAAGAGTTCTTGAATATTAGCAAGAATGAACATCTATCACACCCAGAAATCCACAAATTCTGATCAATTTTACAGAAAAAGACATGCTAAGCCAACACCAGGCAGGTAGCAAAATTTAGCACAGAGCACTACTTGAATGTAGCCATCTTTCTTTAAAGTACTGTTGCTGCCAGAAAATGCCAGACCCAACCCTGCAAACTGCAGGTCTGTACCTGACAAAGTGTTACCTGGTAGAGCACAAGACAGAAAACACCCCTGTAAATTGCTACAAGTCTTAATTTATAGTTATCAAAAGTTTCTTACTTGAGTTGGATGTCCTTTGGGCAAAACTCTAATCTATCAAAATCTACAAATAGAAAGAATAAAAACCCATTTAGTGTTTTAGGATTTTTTAATGTATGTCTAGAAAAAAAAAAATATTGAAGTACTAAGATAACTTACCTAAGCCACATTCTCCAACTGCTATTACCTTTGTCTTATTTTTTTCAATCAGATTTTTTAATTCAGATAAATACTGTTCGGGGCTACTCTGCTCAAATTCTGCACAGCGGGTGGGATGACAGCCAACTGTACTGTAAAACATGTCTGGAGCAAGATAGCATTAGAAGGTTTTAAGGAAAAAAAAAAGAAAACTTATATAAGGTATAGTCAGTACCTGTATCTGGACTTCTTTTCATTGCTCATAGTTTTAAAAGAAAACTCTCTTTGAAAATCATTGTTATGGTGACAGTTTTATTACACTGGTATTTTCTGCTTTAAAAATGTTAAGACAGTATTGCCAGCGGGGGTGCATGTGCGTGTTTCTTTCGAGTATGTGTTATTTAGTATAGTCCAAATCTGCAACTCAAAGCTGAATTATTCTGGTAGAGTGGACCCCAACAAATCATACAATGGGTGAGGCTGGGAGAGACCTCTTGAGATCATTTAGAAATCTACCTCATTCAGAATGCATCAGGCTGTCCTCAGCTGTAAGGTTTGTACACAGCATGCGACTTCCCCTGAGTGCATCTACACGAGCTGCTACAGAATTTCACAAGCAACATCTAGCCTGAGTTAATTATCTAATCTAGATTACCTCTGTGCCAAAACTAACGCTTCTGCTAAGCGCCTTTACAGAGCATGTAAAAGCAGGGGGGGAGGGAAAGACCATATAAGGCCCAGAGCAACTTGACCCAGCATTAAAGCTCGTCCTGCTTTGATGGAGGTGGGGAGGTGGATGGGGTTGGACCAGGTTACCCCCTCAGGTTCATTCCAACCTAAATTATTCTGGGGGTCTGTTGTGTAAATAGTACTTTAACATGTGTTTTAGTTCAAATACATATTTAAGTAATTAGGTGGAATGATATTTGCCTTTTCAAAGAAAGAAAGGGAAAGCTAGGAGACCCACAAAGAGAAAGATACCTTGTTTGTTCAAGACAGTCATGATAGATTGGTAATTAAAAAACGAACAAAAATCCATCTAAAACCACACATTCCACACCAAACAAGCATTCTATCTTATTTCTAGAAGATAGTCTTGTAACAAAATTTTTATTCCAGAAATTTCTATTTCTAGATAAAGTGAAAATACCATTTGTCTGTGCCAGCTGCAATGCATCTTCACTATCTTGCAGACTTCCACCTGTAATCAAAAACTTGAAAGAAGAAAAGTACTGTCAGTGAGAAGGCTCTTTGAACATCAAACAAAGTTTAAGGGAGCACTCAGATATAAATAAGAATGTAGACAGAGAACATCAGAAGACAATCACTAATGCAAATATGACAACATTTCATAAATCAGAAATGAAACTCAATGGTCCTCAGGAGCCAGTAAATACACTGGGCATCAGAACCTGATTTTTTCCTTTATCAAGTATCTTCTATGCTAAGTATTCAAACCATTAAATGAGTGAGAGACTTCTATCTGCAGCAATCTTAACTTCATTAGACAATGACTCAAGAAATAATACTCAAGACATTCTCTGCCTTAAAGGTGGAGAAACGAAAAACTCCCAAACACCCCAAACCAAGACATGAATCAGTAAGTAGATAAACCAACAAAGGGGTCTGTCTCAGAGTTGGGATTACAAGTTTAAGAATTTCTGGCTCTGATCTTTTGTTTTTACCTTAAGATCAAAGGTTATCACACCAGAATTGTTACCTACAGTGTTTTTTGAGCCACCACTGGCAGGATCTTACACCCTAGGTCCTAATAAATCATAACTACACTGCTTTTGGGCAAGTCTTATCTCTACACATGCTATATCCCAGATTTGGTCAGCACCAAGTCAGACACTTCTGCAGTACGGTCCGTTAGGGACAGACACATCCCAACAGCGTCACCGGAAAAATAAGCAGGAAGTGGCTGGGTGTACACACAGCACGTGGCAAAACTTTACCAAAAATTACCATAAACCAGCAGCTCTATGGAAAACCAGCAGTATTTTCAAATAAACAGATTAAACTTCTCACTAAGTAGAATCAGTCTGGGATGGGCCCAAGGAAGTTGTGGATGCCCCCTCCCTGGAAGTGTTGAAGGCCAGGCTGGATGAGGCTTTGAGCAACCTGGTCTAGTGGAAGGTGTCCCTGCTGATGGCAGGGGGGTTGGAACTAGATGATCTTTAAGGTCCCTTCCAACCCAAACCATTCTATGATTCTATGATTCTATGACACCATACAGGCCAGTAGGAAGACTGAAAACATAGTTAAGGACAGGGAGCTCTGGAATTCTATTTCTGAATCCACTGTGCATCTTGAAAAAGTTATGCAGCCAACATGTTTTTGATGATAACAGAGGAATACTGCTGCTTACTTTCAAAGGGTGATAAAAAGATAAAATAATACTTAGACAGCACATATAAATGTAGTAAAGGTGACTGATTCTGTATTTGCTGCAGTGTGGTAACTTCTCCATCACTAGAGTTTGTGGGGTTTTTCTGTCTCCCAGTTTATTTCCCACTCTTTTCAGATGACAGCCTTTCAGCAAACTTCTGACGTGTCTGTTCCTCTTCTAGAGGAGGGTTTATTTCTCTCTTTCTAATCCACCAGCCGTATTAGTGCAGTAAAACAGTTTGTGACAGTGTGCATTGTATCCTATTTTCATTCATATTTTTGTCATGACAACTTACTAAGCTTGGAGAGATGCAGGCAGGCTGGACTATTATAACTAAAGGAATGAGGTCCACTGCTGAAAACACCAAGTTCAAGCAGAGAGTTAAAAACATGCTCATAATGATGAGTTTAAATACATGTAAGCCAGTATTTACTAGCAGATAGTCAGATGCCTCAACTGTAAGAATTTATGGGCACTCCCAGCTGTTCTGCTATTACCAATCTCCTTTACATATAGAAATACCTGCAGGATTACTATCAGAAGAGTTTTTGAGTTTTGATCTGTAGCAGTAACTGTTGAGCGAGTCACTCGGGATACAAGAAGACAGGAGTGGCTGCCTATAGTCCAATTAACATGGAAAATTGTGTACTAGTTGATTGCAGAAGGTCAGACGAGAACATCTGTCTGTTGAAACTGTACAAAAGAAATTCTACACACATATCACCCATGATACGACTGAACCTAAATAATCAGCATCTAATGATCTGTGTAAATGAAAGACAATGCTCTGCACAGAACGCTTTTGCTTTCTGATATTGAAGTGACTGCATTTTCCACTGCAAGGTTTTTAATATTGAGCACTAAAAAGCAAAGTATTAGAAAGTAATTGAAAATATTAAGAAACTTTATCAGCAAAAATTACCTTTTTAACACCAACTTTGACTGCTCTTTCTACCACATCCAGAAAGTCATCTGTGAAAGTTCATAAAAATGTCATAAATTGAACTTGAGGTTTTACAGCATAATTTAACTACTTTGCAACTAAAAATCACTTTCATGCAGTCAGAACACCCACCATGAACAATTTTTAAACCACGCTTGATTAATCTTTAGAAGACAATAACAAAATGCAATAACTGAAGATCTAATTTAAATACAAGAATTCAACAGAAGTTTTTCCACATACTTTAGCAGACTGTTTTTACATCTATAACTAAGGGTGGTGAGAGCAAAAAAGCATCAGTTACAATTAGTAATTACGATTCAGCAGTGCAATACTTTGATAGTTTATTGTTCATAATTCACAGGTCAGTTTCTTCCATGCAATCCTAACATAAATACATCAGCAACTTTCCATTTTGCTCTAGAAGCAGTTACCTGGCTGACAACTTAATAGTAATTCAGTAGAAGATAATATATTTTGCTTAGAACATCTAAGTTATTTTGTCACACTTTCTTCTTTAAGCCACAGTAAATAATAAGCATCCAGTTTCTGAGGAGAAAAAAAATTCTAACCTCACTTTCTGACAAGTAAAAGGCTTCCATTTTAACAAGAGGGATCCTGTCTTTCAGTAGATACAAGGAAACACTTACCTTGATGTTTCTGCGTTCCCCTGTAGATTCCTCTGAACATAGGATCTGTCAGGTTAATACCAATATCTATAAAAAAGCAAGTATAGAAATTAGATGTTATAGTTGCTCTACAGTTCATTCTGAGCATTAGCCAACTAGGGAAGACAATGGAAAGCGTATCTTAGTAGTCCTTGGCTACCACTCTGACAGGCCATAAGGAGCATAAGCACAAGTATATTTTCATGGAGCTCACTCACTACAAGTGACAGAAAAATAAAGTTTTGGCCTTCTGTGCAACTCCAGGTTTATTCTGAGTGTACAAGACACACCCTCATAACCCCCAAAGCTAATACATATATACTGTTTACTGCGGTTAATTCTCATTTTCACGTGAAAATACAATTTTATCTCTGCCTATAAGCAGCAACGGGCAAGGAAAAACGCAGCAAGTTACGTACAGGGGTTTCCAGGGGTGGGAGCAGCAGCAGGCGGCCCCATGAAGGCTGCCCGTGCTCCCTCCTCCCG